TCCAGTGTCAGGTATATACTCTCAATTTTGCCATTACTACATTTCTCTTAGTCTGGTCAACCAATCTAATATTGTTGGCAAGATTCTTCTTTTCCAGTGTTGTACAAAATTTGGTCTTGCAACTGCCAGAGTGTAGTAACTGTGACATTTTACATTGATTGTTTCTGGAATTATATCTAATAAAAATGTGGTTTCAGCTCAAATTTTATTTTTAGGACTTCCTATTTTGAAGTATTTTTGAGTACTTTTGAATTGTTTTATATAACCACTATATATGATTAAATGTTCCTTCTTTGTTAGGACATTGCTAGGATGTTTTCAAAATTTAATATATGATTTTTCTAATTTGGTAATCAGTGATGGAGTTACATTTATAAAATATTTTGGATCAATTTCACCTTAAATATTTCAAGATGCACCTGTGGGTACCAATGCTACTGCATTCTGGACAATTGTAGTTTCCAGATGATTTTCAAGTCCCAGTTAGAGAGTTTTGCAACACCCTAATGAAGAAATGGTTAAGGCATGAGTGGTTGCAAGCAAGGTCTCCCAATCCAGGATGGGGCACAATTAGCAGACTAAATGGAGTGATGTAAACATTTGTACCCATATGCAAATGAAATTCAAGCTCCTGATGAGCTACTACAAATAGTTCAGGGACATGAAACAGACATTGCAATTCTGGAGCACTGTGGAGGAAAACCAGAAGCAAATTTGATCAAATCAAGAATGACCTCACATTTGCACCTACACTACAAGGACAGAAAAATTTCTTACATGTGTGAGTGTGTGTGTGTATATACACACACATACATGCATTTATACACATACATATACACACGTACATACATACACACACACACACATACACACATACACAGTTCTTGCATTAGAGTTCTGGGACATATTCTCCATGTAGGAAGGTCAATTCTGAAGTCCGTAAAATAGAATTGGAGTTAATCATTATAACTAATAAGGATATTATACTTTCTGATCAACAAATTGATGAAGCCACAAAATGGTTTAGGGCACGGGTGAGAACTCGCCGCATCACATGACGTGTTGGCGGAACTGGGGTGGGCGCGGCCTCTGCTTGATGCAACCGGCCCACGGGCCAGCAGTTTGACACCCCCTGGTTTAGGGAAATAATGTACAAACCAGAATATTACATTGCTGCTTGACAATTATAACATCATCCCTGAAGATGATGCATGAGAGTGCTACTATTATACTACCAATCTGTTGAAAGCACCAGTTGTTGTATGATGATACAGTTCTCTTCTTGCAAACGGAACTGACAGGAGTTCCTTCTTAAACCAGCTAATGTCAAATATTGCCAATAAGTGAGCCCATGCATCACTTTAGGCTATGGCGTGACTGTACCATGATTTATTGCATAACAAACAATAGTAAAGTTCACATAATACTCTAAGCCAACATCAAATAAATCAGATGTGTGCAATATGTGCAGTATTGACCCTAAAATAGAACCAGAGCATTAGAAGAGACAGCAAGAGTCTGGGAAAAAAAATCATTTTTTTTTGGCCAGGGAAAATGACAATACCTCCCAAAGAAAGCAACTTAGTGTAGTCCTAATAAGTTTGCATGGCAGAAAGGTAGCTAGGAAAATATGAACAGAACCTCAGAAGTTTGAGGCTTGCCTC